GACATGCGGACCGGACAGAACCATGGACTCGCGTTCAGGACCTCCCGTGTCCCTCATCCAAAACTCCTGAATTTAAAGCTCGGATACCTAAATTTTTCCCATGCACTAACAATGCATGTTCTTTGTGTGAGTTATTTGACTATTTGGGCAGAGAGTGGATTTTCTTAGTTTTTTTCCACACAGTTAGTGCCACTTTATTCCCAAACTCTTGTTAATTGTATCGAGAAATATTAAATAAAGCTTAATGTCAAGGCCTGGACTTAAGCATTTTGATGAGAATAACTGTATATTGTGAATATAGGCTACAGAGTATACTGTATACATTATAAGATAAGATAAGATATACTTTATATATCACACAGAGTATGTACAGTATATATTTTTACATTAGTACTGTATACATTTTTACGTTTTCTCCTGGAGGTGTGCCGCAAGATTTTTTCAGTGAAAAAAGTGTGCCTTGGCTCAAAAAAGGTTGAAAAACACTGGCTTATAGCGGGTGCAGTCTGCTCTAGCCAACCATGTGGCCAGTGGTATTACTCAAAAGACGAGTGGACGAAAGCATGCGAGCAGAAAGGCCGCCATTAACTTTTTCAAAATAATACATCGACTGATGACGAGAAATGGACATGACCAGCATGATAAGCACTACACTCATCTCTCCCAGTGTGAAGGAACCAATTTGTTTGAACCTCAGGTCTATTGTAAAAATAATTTACATGGGACGCCCCCATCTAGAAAAAAAAGCATTATGAATGAATGCTGAAAAAAACAGAGAATGCAAGCATGTGTTCAGTTGATGTAGATGACAAACTTCCACTTTATAGACAAGTGTGCGTCTGTTTTTGCATCTTTACAACAGATACATTTTAAGCTCAGGTATATACCTTATTTTGTTTGTTCACCAAAAGAAGAGTTTTGTAAAAACAAAATGTGACCAAAGCTTTAACCCCATCTTGTACAGGTTTCCCACATAACAATATTACTGAGAGGAATATTGAAATATAAAACATAGCAAAGAGCTTCCGTTCCTCCATATAAATAAAGCTACTTCATCTCTAAAACATGTCTTTGCAGCTGTCTCCCCACACCATGAGAGCTGTCTGTTAGCTCCGCTCGGAGAAGAAAAAGCTGGTTAGCGTTTGTTTCTGTGTTTGCATTTCTCCTCTCAGCCTCTGGCTCTACATCTGTCGGCCACTACCGACCACCTCCAAGGGAATGCTGAAAGGAATACTGAGTCAACATCCTGCCCTGTGGGACGTCCTGCCCAGGGAGCGAGGGTAGAAGGGAGAGAGGGGGTCTGCTTTGAAAGAGAGAGTCAAGGCACTGAATAAATGCAGTCAAACGGAGGGAGGTCGGAGGCGAAAACTTCAAAATCTTGAAAATGCTATGAAAGCATACTGACATTACTTTTGTCTGTGACTCGTTGTTTAAGTAGGGCATATGTGATGGTAGAGTTCTTTTACACATTATATTGTTCTGCGATCAGCCAAGTAATCCTCACTATATATTCTGTGTAAGTTTCCGAAAATGTGGTAACGCCTAAAAGGTACTTTCTATAGCTGAACAATTTTGCCTATACATCATACATGTTGTGAGACTAACACACAGACGCCACTGAATTTGAAGCAAATTAATGTAGGTAGCCACAGGCTAGCAACCAAAGAGCCAGTCAGGAGCGGTGCTTGTGTGTTCATTGCTTGTAAGCAAAAGCTGAATTCAGGGACAATTCAAATCAATGTATTTGTATATTGCACTAAATAAGAGCAGCAGTCATCTGAGAGTACATTACAAAGTTGTGAATTCACCACAGGGTGATACACAATTAAAATGCTTTGAATTGAATGTTCTGTATATTTAAAAAGTTAAATCTTGATGTGAGCAAAACTTGATACGAGAGTTACACATTTAATAAGATACCTCAGACACAATTCCATCCATCCATCCATTTTCTTCCCCTTAATCCATTTCTGGGGGGTGGCAGTCAGAGCTGCACCCAGCACACATAGTACCAGCCTCTCACTGATCCTCCTGCAGGTTGTGAGTTCTTCGGACTTCAGACAAAGTGGGGTTAAGTGTCTTGCCCAAGGACACAACAACAGCAGACATGTCTTGTTTGTTTGCATCAACAAGATAAAAATGATGATGGCAAAAATCAGGAATGTCATGTGAAAATTTAAATATTTTGCAGCCGCTTAAATTAATTTATTGATAATGGGGAAGGCACATATAAGCTTTTTGCTTCGGCCTTCTCCTTTTGAGCCTTTTTTTTTTGTCTTTTTTGAATTATTTGTGCATGTTATTGTGTATTGTCAACTGCTCAAATAAAAATACTACTACTACTACTACATCAGTTGGAGTCGTGAAGTAGGTCTTGTGGTGGGGCTCAAACCCCACAACCTTCAGGCCCAAAGGCCAATGCTCTAACAACTGAGCCACCGTCACCCCTGACACTCCAACACATAGAAAATGTTTATGGACTTTTAACCTGTGGAAATACAAGATCCACTGCTGGTTAAATAAATGCTTGAGTAGCGCTTCTTCTTGCACTGGGGGTGTCTCAGCTCCTTCAGTGAAAGACATCCTCAGTGTAAGAAGTGCTACCACAGGGCCTTCATCCCCACCGCTGTCAGACTGTACAATAAGTCACTTTAAGTCACTATTTAGGACTGAAAAAAACAGCATTGCTCTTGCCACTTTTTATTGTACATAATATATCCTGCACAGACTATATTTATAAGATAAGATAGACTCTATTGATCTCACACAGGAGAAATGTACATGTTACTTTTGGCATGGATAGAATCACTCAAGATTTGTGCAAAAAAAAGTCAGTGAAAACCAAGCCCCGGCGATCCAAGATGGCGCCCTATTCAAATGAATGGTTGTGCTCAGTGGCGCTTTGTGACGGCATGGGGGCTGACAGATTAGCGGAAGTCGCCTGGAACTCGCAAAGATCTATGGGAAACTCGCCTGTATTTGGGCATTGTCTGGTCCTCCCGGTTCTGCGCAGTGGATGATCTCCCATAATGCGTTGCGCCAAACATGCGTGTGTGGGACTCACACCGGGTCTCACGCACAGAGGGGCTCGGCTGCGCTCTGACCAATCAAAGCAGTTCATCAGAGCGGGAGTTCTGGATGACAAGGGACACTAAAATCCCCACAAAATCCGACCTTTATTAAAGCTGTAGGTTCTGTCAGCTGAGGTCACGCTGTTAAAATACATTGAGTTCTATGGGGAAATGTCTGGGAAGCCCACGTGAATTTCGTCTGGTCTAGTCTGCAGTACTCAGATTCAGATCAGATTCATTTATTTTAGATTCATTTATTTGCCATTTGCAGTAAAACCACATTGGAAAAACTGTGTAAGACTACCCCAGTGTGCACCAGACGACACACACCAGAGCTCTTGCCACGGCGCCATCTTTACGGCGCCATGCGTACTGCGAGAATCCCCCGAGCACATGAGTTATTCAGCTCCAAGCTAGTAATACCCTATCCAGTTATTATAATAGATCCATGGTGAAAATCGTTCCCCTCGGACACACAGCACACAGAGAACTTCTGCAGGTGGCAGCTGCAGAGAAACGGTGAGAAGACAATGCCCTGAGGGGCCCTACACTGTTAAAAAAAATTCCCTTAAAAAACGGAAAAAGTGCTGGTAATTAATTACCAGCACTTTTTCCGTTATTGCACGGGCACTTCCGTAAACCTTAAAACGGATATTTCCGTAGATTTAACTGAGTTTTTCTGTATCATTGACGGACACTTCCGTCAAACCTAAAATGGAAAATTCCGTATTTTCCGTAAATGTTTCCGTTATTGTACGGGCACTTCCGTAAACCTTAAAACGGATATTTTCGTAGATTTAACTGAGTTTTTCTGTTATCATTGACGGACACTTCCGTCAAACCTAAAATGGAAAATTCCGTATTTTCCGTAAATGTTTCCGTTATTGTACGGGCACTTCCGTAAACCTTAAAACGGATATTTCCGTAGATTTAACAGACTTTTTCTTTACCATTTACGGACAATTCCATCAAACCTAAAATAGAATATTCCGTATTTTTAAAGTACTCAATCTGTACCATTTACGGACACTTCAGTCATCCTAAAATGTTTAATTCCGTAAAGTTCTCAATACCGTTTACCATCAATAAAGCACAAATGTAGAAACAAATACAGTGACAGAAATTTAGAAATAAACAATTATTTATTTCATTTAACAGCTGCCAGTGCTTTAAAGTTATTGCACTTTTTGTGGTGAATGAATTGCAATATTTACATTACAACCATTAAAACATTCAGAACATCTTCACATTCAGAGCAATTTTACATACATAAACCAGCTGTTTTCTCAAAGAACTACAGCCATGTTCTTTAACAGGGAGCTGCCAAATCTAGCAACGTTTTAGCACCCACAGGTTGACGGGCATTAATAACAAATGGATTTGTTAAAGACATTGACAAAATAAGACAATAAAACTGCCAGCATTGCTGTTGCTGTCTCACCTGTCGGTGCAAAATGAGGAGCCCCCTCCAGGAGGATGCAGAAACCCACACCTCCAGCTCCACATATCACACCGACAGGCAGAGCTCTGCAACCAGTGTCTGACCTTTCTACAAAAAACAAATAGAACATTAGAAGTATTACATTATACAACTTTTCTATATAACATCAGTGCAGCAATAACAACCATTACCTTAGAAGGATGACTCTGTGTAACATGCCATAAAAGAGATTTCTGCAAAAATAACACTTAAAACTTGCACCTCCAACTCCACATTGACAGGCAAAGCTCTGCCTGGAATGACAAATATCGCCCACCTTCCCTCCCCCTTAACATGGAGGGTTTGAAACTGCAGCATGTGTGTTGTGGGCATCTAGTTAAAACATCTGAACTCACATAATACTGTAAAATCTGTATTTCTACTCCCAATCCCCATGTTTTTGGATTTGCGTGTGTGTGTGTGTGCATTCAGTCCAAAAAGAGAACCGCTCAAAAGGCCCACTCAGATTCCTTCTGCTTGCATTCAAATTCCTTCAGCTGAGAAACCAGCTTCCACACCTGTGGAGGAATGAAGTGCCGTTTCTTCCCCTTCTTCTCTGCCTTGGAGCCTCGCTCAGGATTGATCCCAAAGAAAACTCTGAGAAAAAAATAATAACAATGAGATGCAGACAAAGTTTGCACATGTAGTGTGGCTTGACAGGAGTGGAGCAGTTCAATAAAATCATACATTTGTTTTCTTCAATATGCCCCTATGTGTGAACCTCTCCATCATTCTAGTTGACCATCTGTCTTGTACCCAATGTTGTTGTGGTGCAGGTGCCAGTGGCTAAGCTTATCTATTCCTTTTTCTTTTCAAGACACATACATTCACACTGCGCATATACAGGAATGTTTGCAAGGGCGAGAAGTCTGCTTATCACCAACACATGACAGCATGCATCCTCAACGTGTGTGTAGGGATATTATAAATGCACAGAACACAGAAGGGGATAGAAAACACAGTTGACATCGTCCTATCAAAAGGTGTAACAGTACATTTGAACACGGACTGTCCTGGGGGTTACTCAAACATGGAGTGGAGCAACTGTGACATTCAGTGCATGTTACACATCAAAGTATTAACATTTGGGCATGAATCCAGCATTTATTATTTTTTAAATGAATATGTTTAGTCTTTGCTACTGGAGGGGGTCCCTGGAATAACATATTTTGAGGTTGGAGTCTGCAGCCAAATACATTTCAGTTTGTGTGTCTTTGACATGAAAAGGTTTGAACACCACTGACATAACTTTGTCTCCGGTGCTAATGGTTTTTAAGAGATAGCTCAAACGAATTTTGTGTCAAGAAACCATTCTAAGAAAAATATGTTTTTGCTCCATTTCCCAACTAGAATCATGTTATAAAAAAAGCAGCAAACCCAGGCACTCTAAAACAAATATGCACAGCACGAGGAAGTACTTAAAAAACATGTTGGTTTGGCCATCCTAATAAAGGCCTTTTTAAGTACTTTCTCGTGCTGTGCATATTTGTTTTAGAGTGCCTGGGTTTGCTGCTTTTTTGAAACTTGGATCCCTTTCCCAAGGGCACCTACACAAACATTTTTGGAATATACTGGGACACCTTGAGCAAGCAGTCATCTTGTTGTTTCTAGAATCATGTCATGTTTGTTTTTGATTGACTTGGGACACTATGTAAAGCAAAAAGCATGTTACCTGCCATTTAAAAAAATATGACACATTTATTCCAATAGTCTTTAACAGGGAGCTACGAAAGCTACAAACAAATCCATATTTACGGGGATCATAACAGGGCATAACAAATCGCCACTTGCAGGTCACAGGCACTCACTACATTGAAAACCTATCAACATCACTGAATAATGATGATAATATTATAGTATATATTGATGGTGATAATACTATAATAGAGCACATGTCTGAGAAATTAATATAGTCAGCTCATTACTATGAAGGCACACATTGATGATGATGATGATGATAATCTGAACACATTTTGAGCTTGTACATATCAGACAAAGGGGTTTGGTGTATATTGACAAAAAGCAGGTCGGGTGCAGAAAGGCACGGCAAAGTCACATTTACAAAGTATTTCCAAACAATGAGTGCTTACCTTTGCATGAATTCCAGAGTAAAGGCCATCTCCGGTGGGTATTGGACGTTGCAGACATAAAACATGGAGAAGACGTAGCTCAAGGCCACAATGGGAGAGGTGATGTGGTCATTGACAAGTATCAACAGCAATCTTGAATTGCTGGTCACCTTAAACACAGAAAAAAACTATTCTGAGCACCATGTACCAAAAAAAAACATCCTATATTTTAAAGGCAAGCAAAACATTATTTTAATATATACAACAAAACAACAGCTTATAAAACAGCTTGCTGGGATACAAAAAAATATTAAACTACAAACCTCTGACTAGGATGCATGGGGTCACTGGGAGGTCGACTTCAGGATCTGCAGAGATCTGTTTTGGTGACAGACATGACACATGAATTAATTTTTCCAGCGCACACAAACCTGCTGGCAAATTGACTATCTGCTAGTGTCTTCATCAGACAGAGGTAGCCATTAAGCACAGACATTAATGTAAATAGTTTATAGAGAGTTTATAGAGAATATCAGCAGCACAATTAGGGGAATCTATACTTCATACTGTGATTGGTTACTTGGTTCACCACTGGATGCAAATAATTATCTTGCACACAGTTTAAAATGTACAACATCTACCTCTTTTTTGTCGAAGAGTTTATAAGAGTCTTCCTTGAAGTATTTTGCAATGCCACAGATGAGCTGTATTGGACCTGTTCAAGGTTCAAGGTGTTAATTTTGTACAGGTACATAAGACTTACACTCATTTTCGTTTGGCCTCTTTTTGGAAAGTTCCTGTTCAAGGTTCAAGGTGTTAATTTTGTACAGGTACATAAGACTTACACTCATTTTCGTTTGGCCTCCAAAAAATGCAGCTATGGAGAGAACTAAAAATAGAAAAAAATCGAATTTAATTTTCATTTGCAACCTGTTCTGTTTTGATCTCAAACGTTCTGCTTTTTTGGTTGCAACTTCCTGATTTTTGCTCTCAAATCTATTCTATTTGATTGTTCATCCAATTTATTATATTTGACTGGTTGCCAGTTTATCTTTTTTGGTCTCAACTCTTTTTGGTTGCAAATCTTTTTTTGATTGATTAATAAAGACAAAATTCTCTCCATATGGGGCAGCACAGCACAATCATAATAATAACAGTAACAACACACCTGTGCCAGCTTGTTTTGTACAGAGAAGCCAAGCAGTTTAGATGCATGATCAAACAGGTGAGGAACTTCAAACAGGAACGGCCACTCATCCTTTACAACGCCAATAGGGGTATCATCATCGTTGAGGATTTCACGCTGAATGGGATATGTTTCAGTCATCAATTTTCGAACAGATGACTCCTAAAGATATGAGGCAGTTAGTTAAACAGTTGAACAGTTAGTCAAACTAACCAATTAAAATAATAAAACAGGGTATCAATTTCAATAGACTATGGGCGTAGTGATGTCAGACAATCTACAATTCCAAAGTGTCCTACAATTTCACATGACCTTACAACACAAGAAAATAATGGAGGATTGCAGACCCACCTGTAGATCCCGGGTTTGAAAGGCACGTTTCAAGTCATCTCGTTTAGACAGCAGGTCTTCTCTACACACAGTCCCCTCAATGATTGGATCCCACGCCACACATCCATACAGATCTGAATTCCTGGGCCTTTTCTTTGTTGAATTTTCACCCCCTGCTCCCCTCTTCAGTGAGCTTTGTGGCCTCTTCATATTTTAAAATCTGTGTTCCAGCTAACGAAAGAGAGTTTCAGAACCATCTTTTGCAAAAGGTTTGTTTCCAAACGGCTCTGTCAGCTTGAAGGAGGCAGGATATTGTCCTACAATCATACAGGCGAGTTCCCTCAGCTTTTGTCTACCAGGTCTTCCTGGGTGTTTATGGAGGTCATCTTCAGCGACGATCTGAACCATCTCTCGTCTGTCTTTCCCCATTATGTACTTCTTTTCACGCAACTCATCCATGACTTTTGAGGGAAATTTGTGCCATGGTACAGAATATGTGTGTTGGGATGGGGAGTCGGCTGTCTCAGGTGGTGTTGAGGGCAGCTGAAACCTCTGTGGCTCAGGTGTTGAGGGGCCAGGCCTGGTGAACTGCGGTGGAGCTTGTGAATCTATGGATGACATGACACACATCTCCATAAATTAAACACATCACGATTGTTACGAATCAATTAATACATTTGTCCTCAATGTCCAGTTTGGGTCCACCAGGAATACAAATGGACCTAATTATGAAAACCAATTATAGGGTAGTTATTGCAGCTGATGGCAACCTTTTTTCTTTTTTTTTGCATTTTTTTGAATAAACCTTTGTAGTTTCAGAAATTGCATTAAAACAGAGGGGCAAAAACTCACCTGCTTCCAATGCTTTGACAGCTCTGACGAATCTTTTGCACTGGATGAATGGCAGAGTGTCTTTAATGTCCTCCGGGTCCACAAGGCTCAGGTCATCTACAGAGAGTTTATCCATGAGTGTATCCATCTGATCGCTACTGAGCGATGGCATTGCTTTCTTGACATAGTTTTTCACTAGTTCCATGTTGGTGAGTGTTTAAGAGGAATGAGCCACCGAGTACCTCTCTGGTAAGAAGAAAGTGGATGATAATCATCAAATTTGTTCAAATCATGGCAACTGAACAGGTCAGAAGCATTTTCATCAAGTTCATAGAGTCCAAGCTCAGGTACCCAGCTGGCAGTTTTCCCTCGAAGCAAAAGTAGGACAGTAGTTTCATTTTTTACAAAAATGCTTGCTATTTGTCCTAACTGCAGTTGTCCTTTGGCATAGCTCAGTAAGACCAGCATTCCATTTGCATATGTAGTGCCTTTAACCTGCACTCTCTCTGTGACAACTGAGTTACTTGAGTTCAAATCAAATTCTTCAACCACTGTCTTTATGTTCTGGTCATAGAGCTCTGGATAGAACCGCGTTGAGTCTGAGACATGAACCTGGGGACTAAACAAGGGACCACAAGACTGATAAGCCTGAAGCAACTGGTGCCGTTCAGCCAGAGACTTGGTTACATTTATGAAGTTCTTACTTGCCCTAATGCACCTTTTAAAAAAAGAATGTTTTGATTCAAAGCGCATTGTCCAAGTATATATGAGTGGGCCAAATTGTAAAGTCAAGTGTGCATAGTGAAGCAGGTAGTGGTGTTTCGGTCTAAGTTGAACTCTTGGAAATAACTCTTGCCTCAATTCCACATACAGTTCAATCAGTCCCTTCATGAAAGAAATCTGCGACTCTGAGAGCCGAGGTGCACAGACAAATTCAACAAGCTCCCTCAGAAGTAGTACCAGTCCCCATACTTCATTATCAGCATCTTCAATGCAACCTGTTTTGGGCTGCCTGCCCTCCAAGCCTTGCTCCTGTAGTGGGAATAGTGTTTAGCTTGTCGCTGCTTTCCCCAGGAAATGATTTGATTCTTTCATTAAGAACCTCATAACTGAACCACTTTTGTGTTCGGATTAAGAACTGCAAAAACAATGCCAAATCATAATCTACTACCCCCTCGAACAGATCATGAGCTAAACAAGCTGGTAAGCCTGGCTGACACACATGAAAGTTGGACAGTTTGTTGAAAACACTGTCACGTTTAACACCGTGATGAGTGTGTACTTCATCGTTACTTTCCAGAAACCGCACAGTCTCATTATGATCAGCTGGATTTCTATGAGTGAAAACTGTGAGAGGGTTCGACTGAAATTCCCTTTTTGTTGCCAAACAGTATCTACAGAAATATTGAGCTGTGCTAACATTTTCTGTAAAGCCACCAATCATGTGGGAGCCCAGATTATCTCCCATTATGCACGCAACAGTGCCTTTATATATCTTTCCATTGAAAGATATGCCACTTTCCTCCAGCTCACACAAGTCTGACACTAGCTTATTGAAAATCTTATCCATTCCAAAGTATTTGCAATCTTTCTCTACACAGAGTAATGCCAACTGTATCTGATCAACAGTTGATCGTTGGTGTGGATGAAGTGAGACAGCCAATACTTTATACTTTGTCTTGGCAGATCCGAGTGGATTAGCCACCTCAAAAGCATCCTGAAAGAGCATTACCTTTAAACTGTCTGGGTCTGAGGAAAACATGGCCCACCCATCAGTGACATCACAGAGTACATCATCTTCAGAATTTGAACTATGACTGTGCTGATCTAAACCTTGCCGTTTCAGAATTACTTTGAGGGTTTCCAGTATTGGGATGTAATGATAGTGCCTCTTCTGGCCACTGCGATTGCATCCAAGAAAAACTTCAACAGGTTCAACATAGTCATAATGTGACTTGTAATATTTCAGCCTCTTGTATTGCGTAGTTAAATGACCCTTTTCATGTAATGCCTTGTGCATAGGGCTCTGCTCGTATACACTATTCCCAAGAGATGTTACAGTCTCCTTTGGAACACCATACTGCCCCAGTTCACGGGCTAGTGCATCCACAGTATATTCCTGTTGAATATCACTGATAGTTTTCATTTCATTTGCTATTTCTGTTATTGTGGAGGCTGGTACCAAATATTTTGCCTGTAAACCCAAGTAAAACTGAGCAAGACTCTCTATGAAGTTGTCTTTCACTTGATCACTGCAGAAATTATCACTTTGTTCTACATCAATGTTAAAACGTTCAGGTTCTTCAGGTTCTACAGGTTCTACATGTGATCCTTCACCTTGGAAAGACCGCTCTGTTAGTTCAGATCTATGAACTGGGGCTATCTTGGTAACATCCCACCCTTTATGGTATCTGGAAATATGCGTTAAAAAGGATGACTTTACATTGAATGTCTTAGAACATCCATCAAAGGGACATGTTACAGTCAAACCTTCATCTATGTGACCACTTAAATGACTCTTTAAAGTTTTAAGATCAGCATATTCACTGCTGCAAAAATGGGTTACTTTAACTTTACAGACACATTGCGGTTCCATGTTTGTGTGCTCCTTCTGTCTACATGTGCTCGTGACATATGCACAGCAAGGCTACTGTATGTGCTGAGCTTCCTTCTGCAATCCCTATGGCCACATACAAAAAATACATTATTATTATTTCTGTGTGTTCGGCAGTGTTTCGAGTAATCAGTCGAAGACCGGGCGTCAAAGCCACAAATGTTACAAGTCAACATGTTTAAGAGATTGAATTTGCCAAGTGAAGGATAGACAGAATCAATATGAAAACAATAAATTCAGATCAGCACAGTGAAGCACATTCACTTTTCAGATACCTTCAAATAAGAAATCTGCTTTGGGCTGCAATGTTTTCCTCACTGCTTTTTTCACTTTAGGGAATGGAAAGTCTTACAATGCACAGGGGAAATCTGATCCTACTTAATCATCACCCCTTTTAATTATTGCCATTTTCAGTTGTATGGTAACGTAACACAGCGAGCTATAACTACACACACACGTGGCTAATTTACACACGCACGCACAACTAATGGGCAAACGGGACGTCGTCCACCCACGCTTCAAAATAACGCAAAACGTATACATTCAAATGTTACCATGAAACACACACGGCTACCAACTGCCTATCGAGACCAATGTAATGTACGAATAGGAACAACAAATTGGCTTTTGACGTACTTACGAAGCGCAGGCGGTGGGCTAATGCTAACGCATCTAGCAGCTAACGTCCACTCACGCTTCAAAACTACGAGAAACGCACACATTCAGATGTTGACATGAAACACACACGACTACCAACTGCCTATCGAGACCAATGTAATGTACGAGGGGGAACATAAAATGGGCTTTTGACGAACCCGGTACTTAGGTAGCGCAGCCGACATGCAATGCTAACACAGCTAGCAGCAAAGGTCCCGTGCTCAGCTGCGAGCCACACTACCCTAGCTCCGGTTGGAATGCAGACGTTAATGTACAGAAAACGGGCTTATCGTATGTTTAGCTCAATATATTTTGTTTCAGAGGTGGCACTTCATTCCTATTCTCATTACACCCAACCAACCTGTTTCCAACTTTCCCTGTGACTCGCAGAACTTCAGGCTACCACAGACCGCACTGAGTGTAATGGCGTCGGATAATTCTGGCGGGGGGAGAAAATTCTACCCACACTGCATTGCGCGACGGCAAACTTTCCGTATTTCGCAAAACGGAGCGAATCCGTAGCAAATCCACGGTAAAGGGACCCCTAAATTTACGGATTTTTTTAACAGTGTAGTACTGCAGACTACCACCTCAGACTCACAGCAGCGCAGCCGCACGTACTATGGTTGGTCCGAGAGGTAGTCGATGGTCCATGCAGTGAGGTGACTGTCCACTCCCGCGTCCTCCATCTTCCCCCGCAGCAGTGCCGGTCTGATGGTGTTGAAAGCACTGGAGAAGTAAAAAAACATGACCCTCTCCACCTCTTCAGGTTGGAGAGCGTCCGCTGCAGTAAGTAGATGACGTTGTCCTCTACTGCGATGTTGGGCCTGTAGGCAAACTGCACCGGGTCCAGGGTGGGGCTGACCACGGAGCGGAGATGGGTGAGGATGAGCCGCTCCATGGTCTTCATCTGGTGGGAGGTCAGTGCGAGTGGTCTGTAGTGAGCCGGTTCCTTGGCATGCTCTGTTTTGGGAACCTGGATCACACAGGAGGTCTTCCACATGACAGGGACCTTCTCCAGGCTGAGGCTCAGGTTGTACATGTAGCTGAGGACCCCAGAGAGCTGGTCTGCACAGGTCCTCAGCAGCCTGAGACTGATCCCGTCCAGTCCTGCGGATTTCCTCTGCTTCAGTCGCTTGAGCTGACTCCTCACCTGGTCCGATGTGATGGGGGGGGGGGGGGGGGGGGGGGCATAGCTGAACTGTGCACATGTTTCAGGTTTACGCAACTAAAATCTGGTACAATCTTCCTGAAATTATGAGACTCTGTTCAAATCCAGGTAAAAATAGTTCAGTTTCACTGCAACAATTGAAAGATTGTATCTTCACTCTTTTTAATGCACTTTGAATATTTATGATTAGCTTGATTGATGAGGCATTAAGACATGTGTGTTTTTTCTATCTTGTTTTGTTTAAGCACTTTGAGTTGCCACAGTGTATTAACTGTGTTAAAAAAATAAACTTAGAGGATATAGAATATAAGGCTTCTGCCGAACAACAACTTTGTGTCTTTTTTTCCATTGACAACTTTTCTTTAGTGTGTGTTTGTGTCTGTGTCTGTATGTGTTTGGATTAGTGTAAAAAGAATGTGGTTTTCCTGTTTAGTCTGTCTTTATGAGTCTGTAGTAATCTTTATTTATATACCGCCTTTTCACTGCAGATCTGAGTCTCAAAGCGGTTTACATTTGTTAATTTTGGGCATTTGTCTCTCACTCCACACAGAGATGGGAGCGGGGTCGCCAGTACAGGAAGCGCATGCCAGAACTATTGGACAAATTTTTAGTGGTAGGGGAAACCGGAGTACCCGGAGGAAACCTACGCAAACACGGGGAGAACATGCAAACTCCACTCAGAAAGGCCCTGGTCTGAACGGGATTCGAACCCAGGACCTTCTTGCTGAGAGGCGAGAGTGCTATCCACTCAGCCACCGTGAGT